GGTTGTACATGCAATGAAAACCTGATCCATGGTGATGTAATGTATTGAAGTGGTGCAGAAAACCAGGAGAACCAGGAGTGAGCTGCATCTCTTCGTCACTTACAGATTCACGGCCTGAAGTCATATCGCACCACAGCTGCTTAGAGGGAAAAAAAAACGACTCACACTAAGAGAAAGCTGTTGTAAGCCTGAAAGTATGCATCTGCCAAAGCTTGCTGCTCTTAGATGTGGCTTTGTGGTGAAGTAGTCAGTTAAACACAACAAACCAAAGCTCGTGTAGCTCTGAGGAAGTTGATCAGCCACCTGATGATGAGCTAAACCTGACCCTGAGGGTGAAGCCACACTGCAGGTTTCTGTTTGCATCACAGAGCAGAGAGGCTGAATCAGACCTAACCTCATGTGAAACAAACTCTCTGCTTTTTATTTAGAACGGATCTTAACATTTAAAAAAGTAAATGTTTCTAAACATTTAATTGTTACTAGCTGCAGCTTGACTGGATGCTACGACTGGGTGTTGGTGTTAATGGACAGTGGCGTAACACAAAAAGGCACGTGCGAGATGTTAAAAGGGTCAAACCATGTTTTTATTATAAAATGATTTTAAAGTACTGGAGCTCCTACAATGGTAAAAACACATGTTTGTTCACGCTGTCTGTGGCTCCTGCTTTTCAAATTTAAAACAAAACACTTTAAATTCACCACAATTTCACAAACAAATGTCCTCTGATCATACAGCTGCTGTGGCAGGAGGAAGCCAGTGGGGTTCTGACTGCCCTTCAGTTTTAAAAAGACAGCAAAGCCCCAAGGCTACTAAATAAATAAATAAATAAATAACCACTAGCTCCTCAGTAAAAACCCTTAAGAGCCAACAAACTCAAAGTGGAACAATTAGAGGAGATGTCACAGACCCAATCCCACCTTGCTTCTTCTTCTTCGTCGTGTTTATTGGCAGGTGGCATCTAACTTCTAGGTGCATTTCCGCCACCTACTGTGCTGGAGTGTGAGTTGGAGTAAGAGCGTAAAAAAACTAAATAAAAAAACTAAATTCAATCCCACCTTGCTGCTTCCAACTCTGCCATTTTAAATCCTCAGGTGGTGATTGCCAGATTGGGTGCAGTTGTGTTGGCTGAAGGGAGGAGCAGGAGGGGTGGAACCCATGCTTGGTGTTCCAGAGACCCAATCCCAATACTCACACTTTCACACTTGCACCCTTCAATTGCACGATCCTGACCAGGGATGCGAGTGCGTGCGGGTGTCGCGATTATCAGGTGCGGAAGTTGATCACGCCCCTTTTGCTAGTCGTTAATTTTAGGATGATAAGTTGATGCTCTAAAACTTTTAGACAAAGCAGCAACGAATTTAATAATATTTCAAATAATTGTTTGTTTGAAAGTTGTTAAAGGAGTTCTTTTCAAAAGTATCACGGCGACGCTATCGTCGCTATTGATGACGCAATGCTCCCTGTCTCAATTCTGCAGTTATTTGCACACTTGTGTACCACGCACTCGAAGCATTACTGCGCACTTCCTCCAAGTGCAATTTGCTGAAGATTACAGGGCTCAGTGCGAGTATTGGGATTGGGCCTAATCTCACTGGAGAGCAGGAGATGGAGCTGATTCCAGTCCTGAACTCCTGCTCCTTGCCCAAAGAGGCAACAACTGTAACACCCCCTCCCTTAAAAGCAAGAAAAAATTAAAAGAAGTTCCATCATAAACAGTTTTTCCTTTCACTCCTCGTTCCTCATAACACAAAATTCTTCAAGTCCTTTTCTTCTTTTGAGAATTCCCTTCAGCTACTTTAGGGGGACCTAGCTAAGCTCCTCCCTAGTCTTCATGGAGATTATTTGGAGCGGGCAAATTAAACATGAAACCAGTGGAGCAGAGAGGTGGCCCAATTCTGTAGCACGCCCCCCAGCACCACGGAGTGTACTCAAGATGGCCACCAGGTTGATGGCCAAAATGAACCCCATCACCACAACACTACTGCAAACAACAAACAAACCCACCCTAAACAGGATGGGCCCCTCCAGAGCTCACTCTAGCTCCTCAGTGAAAACCTTGATTTCCACCATGATCATTAAAAACACATTTTATTTTTAATTGACATGTCTCATTCTGTCATCAGATGGTCCAATTTTTTTATTTTTAAGCACATGTTTGAGAGAAGGAATGGACAAAAGGAAAAAAAGAGTAGAAAAGCAGCCAAAGTTCACAGAAAAACTTTAAAAACGTCTCGATATGGATAAAAAAAAACTGAGTGCTAAGCTCACTGAGGTGAATAATTATAAACTATGAACATTTCATATCTGTCTGGAAATGTTTCTGATCTCACATTTTGTCATTCAAAGGTCAAAACCTCCCAAACACACAAGAGGAAAATCTAGCGGCGAGTGGAAATGATGGTTTCCTGGTTGCAAACACGGTCCGCCGACACTACTGACAGGACAATCAAGGCAAAGGAACCACCTTCCCTCATTATTTTCCATCTTTTACAAACTCCAAATTCTCATTATTTTCTGGACCGAAGACAAGCTTGGACCAAAAACAGAAACATGTCACAATTAGCTTTGGTTTTCATCGTGCACATGTTATTGGGTTGTTCCTGAGCCCTCAGGACACCACAGAAGCCCCAACCAGGAGTCACGAGGGTGCACTAGAGGGCTTTTCAGGTCAGTTACAGTTAAAGATGCTCACTTCTCTCACTGTTCTTCTTTCATTATTTACAGGACTGTTTATTGAAACAACCTACAAGTATTTGTGATACAATTTAAATAATTCACTAACCCTTCTGATCAGATAGTCACAGTAAATTTCTGTTATTGGAACATAATATATTCTTAAAAATAACATTGTGGCTAATGCAAAACATATTTTTAAACATTTATGCTGCTATAGAGCTCCGGACCCCACGTGACTCTCAGTTAGTAGACGCCATGTTGGCAGGAAAAAAAGGTAAACAAACACGAATCGTAAACATGAACATGAACAGGATCGGCTTGGATTTTACTTCGTAGGAGTTTACTTCACACTTTAAAACCGAAGAAATCGTTTTATATAGTCAGAAATTAAATAGACTAAACATCTCCGACCCTTACCGTGCCCCTGGGATACTTTTTAAAAATGCCAGAAGCTGTCAGAGCGGACTTCTTACCGGACCTGGCCGGGGAACCCCTTCGGATTTACCCGGAGGAGCTGGCCCAAGTGGCTGGGGAGAGGGAAGTCTGGGCCTCTCGACTTAGGCTACTGGCCCCGCAACCCAACTCCGGATAAGCGGATGAAAATGGATGGATGGACAAATAACATAGACTTACATGCAAGTAGTTTAAATAGAGTGCTGTGCTGTTTGAATGTATAAACTGAACGCCAAGAGAAATCTCTAGTCTGATGTTTTTCCGTGAATAAAATAAATATGTCAGGCAGGAGCGTATCAGGATCTGTCTGAGATCTGACTCGGTGAGACAGATAATAGCAATCCAAAGTGCTTTTTATGTGTGATCTGACAATTGATCAACCATTGCTTAAAAATTAAATACAGCTTAGCCGGTTAATTGCTGTGATCATAAAACACGTAAACGGCAGCACGCAGAAATCACGAGGCAATGTTTTACGTGATGTTTACTTGTTGCTATGAGTAATAAGACAGAAAAAGCCACGCCAAAATAAGTTTAGGAAGCCCACTAAGAATCGTTATAAAAGCATTTAAAATAAACACCACACACAGTTGAGGAAACATTGGTTTAAGTACCTGATACGAAGCGGTCGCTGCATAAGCGAAAACCTTTACTCTCGGGATCCCACAGTTTCATTTTAGCCCGGTCACTAGTGTGTTTTATTATAATGATCCAACGTTTGCGGTGTTCCGGATCTTGGGGAATCCTGTAGATGGCTCATTCCTTATGTCGTCCGTGTCCGTTCTGCATCCTGGGGCACAACAGGAATCTACCATATTTCCTGTTTGATTGAGTTTTCTGACAATAACAAATAGTCCAGCTGCCGGCTTCTGCCTGCCAATCTGGCGCCGTTTCGATTTGAACTGTTGCATGCCGGGAGAAGTGACGTCAACTCCCGGAGCTCTATAGCTATTTACAAAATCTTTGGCATATTTACACAACTGCTCTGTCTGCACAACCCTGTAATGAAGAAATGGATGGTGGCTGAAAATGTTTATAGGATAGTATTTGCATTGATAACTGTGATATTTCTTTAGAATTTTATTTTGAGGAATTGTTATAAAATGCCAATAATCTATTGTGACACTATGATTAGCACTGGGAAAGTTTTTTTTAAATTAAATTCTACTGATGACATATACGAAAAACACAAATTTTTCAAATAACATAACATTTTGACCCAAAAAAACTAAGGAAATACAAATAATAACATAACCATGTGATCTTACTTTTGACAGTTCTTCATCTGTAAATCCAGCATCAAATTCATTGTGTCCTCTCATAACAACAACAAATTAATTGCTATAGGTTTTCAATCAAATTTTCCAAAATTGCATTTAACGTTTTGCATTTAAACTTGTTTTGTGAGCAAATTTTGATCCAGGTGAATTTCCAAACTGAAATCCCAAATAAAAACGAGTAGATATGAACGTTTTTGCGTCCTGTTGTTTTGTCTCGCATCTTCCAACCAAACCAGCGGTGAAGTCAGCCAAGTGTCTGTGAGGTCAGACCCTGGAGCTGATCCACCACAACTGAGCAGCAGGTTTCCTGACGCAGCATCACAGTCAGACCTGACAACAGAGCGGACCGTCTCCGTCTCCGATGTCCCCGAGCGTCCAGCAGCAGAGGACAGAGACTCCTTCTGAAGACCTGGACATTCCATTAAAACTATTTAGATCTTCAGATGTTTTCCATCAGGAATCTTCCGCCCAGCAGGACCTGGGAGACACAAGGAATGACATCAGAGAGGAGGAAGCGAGGAGGAGGAAAAGAGAGGAGAGGAGAGAGAGGGAGGACAAATTCTTCAAGTATGACAAAATTTGACTTCTTTCCTTCGTTTCCTCCTCCTCCTTTCTTTTCGTTTCACTCTCTTTCTGTCCATCCCCCTCCTCCTGTTGGTCAGTCAGTTACAACTCTGGAAAGAAACAAGCAGAAGGACTTCTGGACCATCTCAAAGAAGGTAAGATGCTTTTTTACAACCTATGATGAAAAACTGTCAGAGTGCATCTTTTTGGAATTTTACGAGATTTTCTTAAAGCAAAATTCATAAAATATTTCAGTAGTTTTTTCACAAATTAATTATTGAAATGTACAAATTAATCAAAAACTTTCTGAAATATTTTTTGGACCGATTGTGAATTAAAATTACGGATAAAAAAAGAGGTTTAGATGATGGATTTTTTATATATATAAAAAAATAATTTGATGCAGAAGTCTTGAGTGCTTTCTTTCACATTTTCTTGGTTGACCACATTTGCAGCAGGGACACATTAAACCGGAGCAGTTGGACGAGTGTAACGTGGTTTTCGTAGCAGGGCAGGTTAAACGTGAGCATGTGTTGTCAGTGATTTGTAGTTGTAAACAGTGTTTATGAGCCGGGTCTGTGGAGGTGTTGGACTGGTCACTGATGGATTTCACAGCAGCTGCTGGTGAAGGCTTCAGAAAGAGCATAAATAATCATAATTCAGCTAGGGTGGGACCAGTTATGCTTTGTTCCTTTTATTAATCTTTTTGTTTCACATTTGGTTTTCCTGTGACTTTATTTAGAAATAAAAACTTATTAGTTTGGGGTCCTGCCAACAGCATGTCTGAACTTCATGTTTGCAGTTTAAAGAAACTGTTATAATTTCTTTTTATTATTATTATATTTGTATTTTTTTGGGTAAAGCGGTTATTTGTCAAGATCAGATAATAAAACAAGTAGTAGTTAATAAGCAGTAAACAAGGATTTCTTCCTCCTCGGTTCCTTAGACATCTAACCATTGGTTCCTTAATAAGACTGGTCGGTGTTTTTGCCAGTAAGTACTGGTTAACTACCCAGTTTATTACTTATTACAACCTAAGTCATTCACTAGTAGCAACGCATACTTTTGTGGCCCTTATTGTGAGGTGTTTCCAGCATAAGTTGTGTTTGGTGATAGTATACTGGACCAGCATCCCATCCTCATCCAGTACGCTGGTCCCCCAGCTAAACCAGCACCAAAACACAAAGTATGCTGGTAACCAGCTGGTTGATGCTGGTTTTTCCAGCAGGGCATTGGACTCATTAGGACATCAGTTTTACAGATGTTTAGCTCGAATCTGGCAACCAGACTAAATAAATATGTTATTTAGTTATTTGGGCCAGAGCGCTGCTCGGGGCTGCGGAGGTTCCAGCGGAGCGACACTAGACCCAACTTTGCAATGCAAGAATTTGGTCCAGTTCACTAGGCTACAGATCTGGTGTGTGGGCAGCAGTAGCTCAACAGGTTGAGCTGGTTGTCCAGCAATCGGAAGGTTGCAGGTTCGATCCCGGCTCCGGACAGAGAATTCTGCTGTTGTGTCCTTGGGCAAGGCACTTAACCCACCGTGCCTGCTGGTGGTGGTCGGAGGGACCGGTGGCGCCTGTGCTCGGCAGCCTCGCCTCTGTCAGCGCGCCCCAGGGCAGCTGTGGCTACATCGTAGCTCATCACCATCAGTGTGTGAATGGATGAATGATACACTGTAGTGTAAAGTGCTTTGGAGTCCTTACTCTGAGAGGCGCTATACAAGTGCGGATCATTTATCATTTATTAGTAGCTGAACATTAGTTCAAATGTTAGAAAGGTGGGATGGGTGGATGTAACTTTCAGTAAGTAATAATTGGAAGTTTATTCACAATTATTTTTTAAATGGTAGACACAACTGAGAAAAAAGAAAGAAAGAAATGTTTTAAATGAAATTTTACCCAGACCTTTCACATCAGTGCCTTCTGGTCATTCCTGTCAAATTGTTGGTCATAGTTTCAGAGTTTAGTGCCAGGTTTGTGCTTCAGGAGACGGTTGGGGAGTTTACTTTTGCTGCTGACAGCTGAGCCAACGGGAGGAAAACGCTTCCACCTGAAGACCCAGACAGTAAAAAGCAGAAACGAGTGAAGAGTTTTCATGGGTCTTTCTGAAAGGCCGTGTTGCCCTCCTGGGATTCAGCTCTACCACAGCTGGAAGAGCCGTGACTCTCAGGTATTTACAAGCTAATGGTTTCCAATCAGAGCAGTGGAGAAGGTTGAGGTTGAACCGCAGATGTTTAAACCAAAACATAAGAACGGTAGCAGGTTCACCGGAGGAATTATTCAAAATATCTTCAGCTTTTGTAGACAGTTAGGGTAGTTAATTTCTAGTATTCAGCATTGAAGGCTTTTATTAAAGAGTAGGTTCACTGAGAAACATTTTAAAACATTTTTTTTCATTATATTTTAAATAAGATCGGTCAATCGGAGGCTAAACGTCTTCGACTCCTATTTCCTGCATTAGCAGCCAATAGAATGTAACGAGGGAAAAACTCAGTTTAAAAAACCCTGACAATCCTATGTCACATAGTAAATTAGTATTCATGGAGTCAGCCGTCTTGGCTTGTGACTGGGGAGGGCAGTTGTTGATTTAGCGTCCAGGAGAGAGCAGAGCACATCTCGACAAGTAGAAGCTAACCGTTAGCATTAGCAACTCCACAACATGACAGAACTCCTCCAGGTTTGTGGTATTTGTGGCGATAAAACATCCGTGTTACAGAACAAATGGAGGCAGTGGAAAAGTTATGTTGCTGTTAGCCAATCAGAGGAGAGATGTTCAAATATCAGGAAATGATAACGAGTAATACTCCAAATCCTGCTGTTTTGTGCTTCCCCGTCCACCGACCAACTTCTGCTTGCTGTAACAGGCGCACCAGAGCTTTCCCCCCACAGAAATCCAAGGCTTTAACTTATACTAGAGACCAGTGCTAACATATTGGAAAATTAGTGAACTTATTCTTTAATGTAAAGTTTTATCAGAACTCAGAGACATCAAAATGAAAACTTAGGAACATATCAGATCAGTGTAGTCTCATTAGTTGTGAGGTCTGGTCGGGGGTTGAAAGGTTTTTATGGAGGTCAAAGGTTAGACTGGAGTGGAAAAGCAGGAACACCTCCAACACTTTGATGGAAGAGAGGCGACAGCTGTAGAAAATACCAAAAACCAGAAATTCTATGTGGTGGGGGGCACAGGCTGTATCCAGACTGTTGGTGTCGTAATGGTGTGGGGGGGTTTCTTTTGGTCCCTCATAGCCCATCAATCATATAGGAGGAGAACATGTCTGAAACATCATAATTTTAAGCTTGAGGTTGAAAATTTGACATGTGGTATTTGTGTAAAACGTGTAAATGAGAAGGAAACACTGAATAAATTGTTGTTAAACAGGAACATGTATGTTATTATTAGAAATGCCTTGAATCAATCACCTGATTTGCATAACGAACAGCTGGAAATGACCTCAAAATCCAAAAGAACAATAGAAAACTGCCTCAGCCAGGAGATATTAGTGAATGTGTGCATGTCCGACCCTGAAATGACTTTAATGCTCTAGCAGTAGCAGGATGACATCATGCTCTTGCGAACTTTAAGCAGCTGCTTTTTAAATTCAGACCTGCAGAATGTGGCTTTGAACAGCCTATCTGTCACGTATTACCAGGCAATGGTTGTAAAACCCAGACGGGTTAGATCATTAAAGAACTGGCTCATATTTCTAGATTTGATCAGCTACTGTTTTTGTGTTGTGAGGCATGTCCAAGGCAGTGGTTCAGCAAGAGTTTTATGTGATTTTATTCACCTTTTGGGGTGATTCTGCTGCTTTTTCAGACATGTGGGAAAGGAAACGGTTTTAAGAGATTTTTATCAAAACTGCAATCAAAACCTTGGAATCGATTAAACTTTGGAAGAAGATGGAACCAAATATGAAGAAAAGACGAAAGGCAGTCGTGCAAAGTTTAGTTAAACAGTTTCTAATAAATATCAGAGAATAATGCTGACAACATTTAAGAAAATCAACTGAAAATGTTTTGTGGAATCCAGCTTTCTTTAAAGGTCCAATAAGTAAGAATTTTACAGTGAAATAACCACAAACTGTCTAACGTCTCGATCATGTTAGAAGGAAGGTTAGACTTTTCAGCCAGCTGAGAGGTTGTCAGTTTTTCTCCTTTCAAAGAGGGACGTCATTGTTTACAATCTCTCCATACTTCCTGGTTCCAGAACCAATCATATTTGACTTTGAAAACACTTTGTCTCTATTTTTAATTTGGCACCGGCTGGCAAAAAGCAGCAGTGTTTTGTACAAAAATGGAACCCAGTACACAAAGCAACCTAGAAGTTATTTCATGTACCCAAGAAACCGCGCATCCTTTTTGCTTTACTCTAATGTCGGGTAAAGTAGTATAGAAGCTAATGTTGAGCTATCATGAATTAGAAAGTTGTCTTAAGCTACTTTTTTGTATACCATCAACTCAAAATTTCAGTAAAATGTTTTTATCTACTTAACATACTGTGTGTGTGACTCGTCTTCGCGTGTCATCTAGAATCCTTTGGAGCTGATCTGAAACTGGCAGCAGTTGCTCAGAGTGGGCTTGGTTGTTTTTAAAGAAGGACTGCAGTACCTACATTTCACCACAGAGTGTCATTCTTGCTGCATGCACCTTTAACTCAGTTTACTGGGATTATTAAATAAGAATAAGAATTTTATCCTTAAAATCCACCAAATGTAATAGTTTTAGTAAAATTTATCAGAATTCCCTTTCATTGTAAGATTTCTAATGTGTCCAAAAAGGTCCTAAAACGTGTGTTATCTATAAAATAGCTGCTACAAAGAGAGATTAAGCTACTACATGTAGAAGTTTTTGGAGCATTTTAAAATTGGCCAAGGATAACCATGAGCTGTTTGTATGTTTGTTTTGGTTTGATAGTCACAAAATAACCTGCGGTCACCGTTTATTCGACTAAGCTAAAATGTAAATTAGAAGAAATCGATGTGATTCTGAAGTCTAGAATCTTTCTAAGACATGATGAAACGATCCAACTAAAAGTATTGAAGTTGTTCAGACTCATCTAAATTATTTTGAAATGATTCACCATAAATGTATCTATAAAATATTTGTTTTGTCCGTTTTTTAAAGAATTTTGAAATATTGTCAATAAAACGACCCAAAACAGCAGACACCTTTGAGTTTGCCTGGTGTTAGAATACTACACTCAGTGAATAACGGGCGATTCTTTCAGACCAGCTTACTTTTTCCATGGGGTTTATTGGCCGACATGCTTCACTTACAAGCCCATAAACAGCTAATGGTTCCCATTTGTGCTAATTGAGTCCAAATTGGAGTCTGCTGAGCGAACATTAACTGAAAGGTGAGCCTTAGTGAGTAACTCTGCGTCTCTTTCAGGAGGAAAAACCCCTGGAGTCCAAAACGGAAAGAGGAAAACATCATGGCCCATCCGACTGAAACAGAGTGACGGAATTGGAGGGAAGACTTTCTGTCCCACGGACCAACCCATGCTTCATCTTTAGAAGAAAGTTTAAGAAACAACAAACTCCGGATCAGTCAGACCACAGTTTTCCCTTCCCTTATTCTCCCCCACCAATCACTGCACTTTTCCATTTCTGATCCCAGGAATGCGTCCCCTCATATTCCTCATCCTCCTCTTCCTCCTGACTCCATCAACTTCCAGGGAGTTGCAGGTCAGAGGTCAAATGACACCACGAGGTGCTGAGCAGGACACCATTAAGGTGATTTGGTTCAGATGGGTGAATGAAGGCAGAGCAATGGATCTGCTATGTTTAGATTAATTTTTTTGTTTGTTAAAAAAACTATTTTATTATTGGGGGCTTAAAGCTGAACAGGTAACAATTGGTTTATGTACACATCTGGACACAAAGTGTCTCCTTAGTGCCTATTTACACTTAAGAACTTAAGTCCGTCCCCCTTCCTGTAAGTGTAAGACAATGTCCTGATCGTGAGTTGTAACTGGTTGTCTTCATGTTAAAAACATTGTGTGTGAGTCAGGTAGGAAAACTGAAATTATATTTATGGGTTACCATAAAGACCTGAATATGGGTGCACGTCAAATTAGGAGTCAAATGCAATGTGGCCCTTATCAGACCTCCTTTAGCACACACACCACTTTTAATAATATTTAGAAGGTTTTTCTTTTCACTCACTGCTGAAGTCTTTCATGACGTGTATCATAAAATATTGGCTCAATTTCCTGCTCTGTGTGAGGACTCCTGTGTTTTCCAGTGCTTTTATTGTAGTTGTTTCATTATAGTGGTTCATTTAATAGTTTCATTGGGTCTTTTTAGTGTAGTTTTACTGGACCTTCATTACTTGTGGCTGTTGTACTCTGGTTGTTTTAATTTCTTGGTTTTATTGCGTCTTATTGTTGTTTTTACTATGAACTTTAGTTGTACGGTGGCCTTGGGTGTTTGAAAAGCACCTGAAATTAAATGTGTTATTATTATTATTATTGTTGTTGTTGTTGTTATTGGGGTTTGAAGTAAATCTAGTCTGTTATTGATGCAGGTTTTGATCTCAGAGGGATGCAACTCCCAGGGAGAGTCTTCTGATGTGGACCAAGGAGGTATGTAACAATATAAAGTCCGAATTTTACAGGAAATAAACGTAACAGTTGGGTTTGAGTTGCTTCCTTTTTTTTTTTCTAGGCAAAGCAATCGACCTGACTCCAGGTTCTCCTCTGGTCCTGACCCATAAGATCAAATTGGTTCCATCAGGATCCGGGTCTGGGTCGTGCAGCTGCGAGGAGGACTTTGCTTCCCTGAGAGAACGACTGGAGAGGCTGGAGGGGGAGGTGTCTAACCTACGGGCAAAGTGTGGAGGAGTGGAGAGAGGCTGCTGCACTTCGGAAAGCAAAGGTGAAGCAAAATGAATAAAAAAATGAAATCATGCATTTAAACTCGAATGGAAACTCAAGAAGAGCAATGCACCTCCAACTAGAACTTCTAAACTCATGCACATTGGTGATGTCACATTTTTCCACGATATAAAGATGTATAAAAACTTAAATGTGCAAAAACTTTGATGGTAAGTTTGAGAAAATCAGTCAAACTTTAAGGCTGCCATGTTTTAATGCTGAGTTATGACTTAATTTCACCTTTACCATCCTGATGATGTCCTGCAGACATGATTTCAGCCCAGTACTAATGGCAACCAAAAGTTCAACTGTAAAAGAAACCAAAGCTTTTCCATCTCAACATCTCAACACATCCATATGGTGAAAAAAAAAACATATCGGAACAAAATTAAGTAATCGGGTCATGCAAAGGCTAAGTCGTTTGTCTGAGGAAATAACGTAATCGTAAAAATAAACTTCAGAGATCCGTGGATATTGATCAAAGAAATGCTTACACAGAAAAAAACATTGGTAACCTAACAACAAGAAAAGAGAAAGAAACAGGACAAGTTGATTAAAAATCATTCTGACACTTGAGTAACCCTAACCCAAGAATGCATATGTGTTCATGCTTTAAGATTTCATTTCATTATTAGCATTAAAATAATCCCCTTTTCTGATTTTTTGTTGGTATCGCGTTTGTGTTTCTTGAGCCTGCATGACAAAGAAAACTTCAAAAGCAGCATCACTCATCGTGCTGATACAAATCAGCTTATTAACAAATTACCTCACATTTAAAACAGCACACAGCTGTGTGAAACACACACACACACACACGCGTGCACGCGCACACACACACACACACAACAGAAAGAACTTTGATTTTCTTGATAATGTCCTTTTGTAGCAGATACTTATGTTAGAGTAAGTTTATTTATTTCATATATTTCAAACCCAAACCCACACGCTGCATTACTCACTTTCATGGACCCTGTTAAAATAGTTAGAATAGGAAACAGATATAAAGAAATGTGTTCTGAACATGGACGTAGTTTTGTGGCGGGACCGGGGGGACATGTCCCACCATTTTTACCAAAGTCAATTTTTGTCCCCTGCATTTTTTACCGTCCAAAAACAATAATAAGCTATATTAAATAGACACAGGTTGAGCACTAAAACAAAGTGGAAAACAACCGCTGTTTTCCATCAGACCCGTCTACAAGCTCATCTATTGGCTCTTCTGATACTTACTAATGTGGGATTGGCCGTTCCTGCCACCTGTGTACTTGACAGTTCTGCATTCTTAACATTGCACAAAAGAGCCTCTAGGCTGTAGTTTTATACATTATTTTTGTACACTTACTGTAAAGACCCCCCTCATGAGGGGGCCTCAGGTTTCACCTTTCCAGCACTTATAATGCAGATCTACTGTAAACAGAATTCCAAAGCATTTCAGTCCAGGTCACATCTTCCTGCATCTTATCAAAACGACCATTCCCACACAATTTGCCCTAACGACGTCGACGACTCTCCGTGGGGTAGGGAGGAGGGGTATTCATGGGTAGCATTCATAGGTAGACAGCTACAGTTTATACGCTTGACTCTCCCATATTCCAGTCAGAATCGACAACGCTCCTTAGATGAGAAGCGTAACATCTTCAAGAAACCAAATAAGTCCAGTTGCCCTCGTTCGAACCCCTTGTTTCTGTGTTTGTCTGTAGATACTTTAGATTCCAACAAAATAGCCATCACATCTTTGCCTACAATGGATTACCTTTTGGAGTCAACCCAACCCAAAATGACAACCAGAGCCAGCTGACCTTACAAAACACAAAAATAAAGATATCTCAGACTTTTTTTTTATAATTATTGATCAACATTATTATTGACCTGCATCCTAGCTTACAACTCTGGCATTAAGTAGTTGATATGTGGTGACGGTGCCACAGGGGTAAAGTGCTCGCCCCGTAATCGGACGGTTGCAGGTTCAAGCCCCGCTCAGTTCGCCGCTTTCATTGTGTTGTTGGGCAAGACTCATAAACCCCCCCTTGCCTGCTGGTGGTGGTCGGAGGGACCGGTGGCGCCAGTGCTCGGCAGCCTCGCCTTTGTCAACTGCCTGGGCAACTGTGGCTACATCGTAGCTCATCCCCACCAGGGTGTGAATGTGTGTGTGAACGGGTGAATGACTGATTGTGTTGTAAAGCATCTTGGGGGGTTCCAGGACTCTAGAAGGTGCAATATTAACTAGAGGCCATTTACCATATGTCACCACTTAATGCATTGATTCTAATAAAACTTACAGAAAGTCTTTATTGGATGTACAAATGCAACTGGTTGATTTCTGAAATCCAAACAATTAAACATGTTGCTAGAGCTAATTAGCAGTCGAAATAGCTGATATGCTAATGAATGGGTAAAACTTCACCATTTCCTTCTTATTGGAATAAAATTACAAATGGACAATAGGCTTTTATTTTGAAAGGTTTGGGATTTTTGTTGAGTTTTCCTCTGGATTTAACTAAACTAACAGAAACCTTTCTCTAAATGTCACCCTCTCTTTCAGGTGCAGGTTGCACGATAAAACCAGAGACAGAGGAATGTCCCAATGAGTGCAATGATCAAGGTCGCTGTGTGGACGGCAAGTGTGTTTGCTTCCCTGGTTACGGTGGGCCTGACTGTAGCCTGTCCAGTTGTCCTGGGAACTGCAATGACAACGGGAGATGTGTGAATGGAGAGTGTGTGTGTGGTCCCGGTTTTTCTGGGCCTGACTGCTCTAGGGCAACCTGTTCAGACAACTGTAGCAACCAGGGTAAATGTGTGAATGGCAGATGTGTGTGCAACAGTGGTTTTGCTGGTCCAAGCTGCTCAGAAGAGTCCTGTCCTGGAAACTGCAATAGCAAAGGGCGCTGCCTTAATGGACGGTGTGTGTGTAATTCTGGATTCACAGGTCCAGACTGCACTAAACAGGCCTGTCCTGATAACTGCAACACCAATGGCAGGTGCGTTGATGGTAAATGTGTTTGCTACAGTGGCTTCAAGGGTCCGAACTGCTCTGAGATCAGCTGTCCTGGAAACTGTAACAACAAGGGCCATTGTGTTGATGGACAGTGTGTTTGTAATGATGGTTTCACCGGTGCAGACTGCTCCGGAAAAGTGTGTCCTAACGACTGCAACAACAGGGGCCGATGCAATGAAGGCAAATGTGTCTGCAACAGTGGCTTTATTGGTGTTGACTGCTCTGAAGTAGACTGTCCTGGGAACTGCAACAAAAAGGGACGTTGTGTAAATGGACAATGCATTTGCAATGATGGGTTCACTGGTGCTGACTGCTCCATGAAAACTTGTCCCAACAACTGCAGAAACCATGGTAGGTGTGTGAATGGTAAATGTGTGTGTGACAGTGGTTTTACTGGAGCTGACTGCTCTGAGATTACTTGTCCTGGCAACTGCAACAACAAGGGGCGCTGCATCAATGGGGAATGTGCTTGCAATGACGGCTTCAGTGGTCCAGACTGCTCTGAAATCACCTGTCCTGGAAATTGCAACAACAGGGGGCGCTGTATCAACGGACAGTGTGTTTGTGATGATGGATTTACTGGGGCAGACTGTGCGGAAAAGGCTTGTCTTAACAATTGCAACAGCAGGGGGAGGTGCGTGAATGGGAAGTGCATTTGCGATGTGGGCTTTGCAGGGCCGGACTGTGCTTTCAAAGGCTGTCCCAACAACTGCAACAACAAAGGACGTTGCATCAGAGGGAAGTGTATATGCCGACGTGGGTTCAGTGGACCGGACTGCGGCCAGTGCCAAGATGGCATGACTGGAACCGACTGTAACATCGGTGAGTCAAATGCACCATAATGTAGTGGACATGTGTCAAAAGGGGGTTTACAGATACAAAGCTTTATCTAGTGGATTTAGTGCTTAATGTTTAAATCCACACCTAATTGTTTTATTTTCTTAACACAGCCAAACTTCATTTTCATCTTAATTTTAAAATAATATTTTCACCATTGAAAAGCAGGTCCAAGGTTAATTCCTTATCGGTCTTTGAGGTGCTTTTTGGCAAGTTCAGTCTTTGGGATCTTCTTTACTCTTGTCTGTCTGTGAGTAGAAGCAGACAGTTGTAGAAAAGTATTATTTTTGGCTGTAATTGCAATAGTAGCTGCTCTATGATTCACTGTGTTTTAAAAACAATTTGAAAATGCCGATATGTCTAAGATCTCCACAAACACGCAAGTGCACACTCTGTGATTGACCTCTGTCCATAAGCGGATGTTGAACGCTAATAAAGTTTCATGGGGATTTACAGGTTTAGCAAAAAAAAAAAAACTGATGCATTGCTTACATCGTATTAGAGAACAGGGTAAGACCGTCACTGTTACATACAGTTCTAAAGCAAATCCTACACAATTTTAGCTTACAAATCTAGACAAACCATTTGAGTAGCAAAATACTTTGCTCTGCAGGTTGGTCTAGCCATGCCCCATTAGCCTAATCGAGCCTACCATTGGCTCAAACTATTTTAGGTCTGTCCAATCCCAGTGCTCTATGAGAGACGTAAGGTGGACTTAGAACCAGAGCTGCGGCAGGTAAAAACTACAAAGATGGCACTGGCCTTGGAACAGCACTGGTTTGAAATGGCTTTGGCATCATTTTTGGATGATTTACAGTTCTTTGAGACAAGAGCAGTTAGACGTACTTATGTCCTTTTTTTTCTTGCAAAAGGATGTTTTTGCTTCTTCTTTTTTGATGGCGTATGGTAGACTGCCCTGTTGACAGATTTCCGTGGAGATGAACACATTGTTCATTGCTCTGATTGGTCCTAGCGCTGTTTGAAGACAATCGTACATTCTGCCTTATGACTGAGTTCTGTCTATGGGGTGTGGCCAGACTACATGTTTTCATATAGCATGGTTTGGTAGGTTAACATATATCCTTAAAGAGACAATGGGTAGTTTTTACCATTAATTTCTGGAAATATCCATCAAAATGTTGTTCAAAATAAATTAAATAACACCCAGTTGTTGAAAAATGTTGGCAGCTTTGTAACATATAACCATAAAAATCTGATCTAAAATACATGGGAGCGGGTCTAAGTCTCTGGGCGACGCCATATTAGATTTCATGTTCCTTTCTACGGGAGCCCATGAGGACAAATTGCATTTACTGATTTGTAACAAACAGTTCGAAAACTTTCGTCATTCTTAAATGTTGTTGTTTTACACATTTACCTCTTCACTTGTTGCCAGGGATGAAAGGGAGTCTGATGTGCTCGTTATTTTGCTGAAGTTTGCACTCCCCAGGGCTTTTTGACCCTAATGGGCACCCTTTGGTAAGGTCTTACTCCAACACAAAAATACAGCGTGATTACAATGCTTTATATATCTACTGCCTAGGGCTGGGGGTAAACGATTATTTTTAAAACGATTATTCTGACGATTATTTTATTGAATAGATGACTATTCTAATGACTGTTTAGACGATTGATCTAGTGATTATTTTTCTATTGCACAATTAATTAAAACGAGAAAATCTCTAATAAATTCCTCAAAAAATTGATAAATTGGTACTGTAAAAGAATAAACACTACAGGCCTTCCATTTTGTGTAACACTGCTTTTATTGTGTGTGTTTTATTGTTGGTTATGTTCTGGTGACGTGTAGAACTTGGGAAAGCAGGCTGCTGCCTGAGAGGTGGTTGGAGACGGAGTGTCTCTATGCTGCTTTGATTTGGTCACTTATGTTCGTGAGGCGAGTGGTGTTACGGCCCTTCCTGGGAGTTTGGCTCGTGTGCAAAATGGAAGGGACAATAACGGGATTTAAAAGTTAAAATGATGATCAGGTTTATTTACAACAACAAAAAAAACATAAATCTTTCCATCCACAGGTTGGGAATAATAAAACTAATTCTGCCTGTGGGGAATTAAAACAAAAGTACAAATAAGTAGGGATGTCCCATTGGACAAAGATGGGTTCTAGACCAAAATAAGGATCTCCAAAGGTCCAGACTCTAAACTGGGTGGTTAAACCAAACTCAAGGTGATATTTTAAACTAAACCGAAAACCCACAACACTTTAAATGTAATAAAAGGGAGATCTGCACCACAAAAAAGATGAACTCTAAACCAAAACGTAACAGGCTATCCAGTCGCAAGAAGCTGTTTGCCTTCGTCTTCGTCTTCATCTTCCTCCGCTTATCCGGGTCCGGGTCGCGGGGGCAGCATCCCAACTAGGGAGTTCCAGGCCGTCCTCTCTCCGGCCACCTCCACCAGCTCCTCCGGCAGGACCCCAAGGCGTTCCCGGACCAGATTGGAGATGTAACCTCTCCAACGTGTCCTGGGTCGACCCGGGGGCCTCCTGCCAGCAGGACATGCCCGAAACACCTCCCCAAGGAGGCATCCTGACCAGATGCCCAAACCACCTCAACTGACTTCTTTCGATCCGGAGGAGCAGCGGTTCTACTCCGAGTCCCTCCCGAATGTCCGAGCTCCTCACCTCTAAGACTGAGCCCGGCCACCCTACGGAGGAAACTCATTTCGGCCGCTTGTATCCGCGATCTCGTTCTTTCGGTCATTACCCAAAGCTCATGACCATAGGTGAGGATTGGGACGTAGATCGACCGGTAAATCGAGAGCCTGGCTTTCTGACTCAGCTCCCTCTTCCCCACGACAGATTGGTTCAGCATCTGCATCACTGCAGATGCTGAATCAATCCGCCTGTCCATCTCCCGATCCCTCCTACCCTCACTCGTGAACAAGACCCCGAGATACTTAAACTCCTCCACTTGAGGTAGGACCTCTCCCCCGACCCGGAGCTGTTAGCGAAAATGCTAACAGTAGCTTTACCAACGTTAAGTTCAAGTTACCAAGTTTAAATAAAGCAAAAATACCCCGAAAACAGACCAGTATGGAGGAGAGACTGCTACCACAAAAACAACTCTTCTAATGTCTGAAAGAAGCTCCTTTATGAAGGGAGAAACTCTCCCAGTGATTTTCTACATCTGCGGTAGAGACAAAGCAGCGCGTTTGACCCCAGAAGTGTCACAATGCGAGCAAGGAGATGGTTAGGACCCAAAGTGCAGATACCCAGGATGACACGAAGCAGGAGAGAAGATTAAGAAAAATCCTTTATTTAGGATGAACAAAAAAAAAATAAATCCAAAAGGCTGGGAGCCAAAAATCCAAAAATGTCCAAATACTGAACTAGAGATCCAAAACACTAGAGACACGAGAAGCACCAAATAACACTAGAGATAAAAAACGAGAAGACTGACAGAATACCACAATGGACCGACAACAACATTGAGACAAGGACAGGGTTTTATACACTGGGGCTGGAGTGAATGGAGACGAGGAGCCGTTGTGAGGATAACTGGCACAGGTGAAAACAATAACTGAGAGGAGGAGCAAAAAGGAGCAGGGGAGGACACCAGACCTGACTGGGGAAGGACACACACACACACACACACACACACACACACACACACACACACACACACACACACACACACACACAACTGAAATAAGGGACCTATAGAAACTAAGGTGGGGAGACTAAGAGACATGAAGAAAACCAGGAGGGAGCCGGGGACCAAAAGTGCTGGAGCTACATGAAGAACACAAAGAGGACACATGAGGGCGCTAGAAGATGCAAAAGGAGAACCTAGAGAGGGATGGAGAACACAAGGAGATACATGAGGGGAGACGCAGACGCAGACCATGACAAGAAGTTGTTGTTCGTTGCCGGGAGACAAAGGCGGGCAAAACAAGAAAGGAATGTAGTGGCGGAAGGAAATTGTTCCGGGTCTTCGGTATTTGGCGGAGATGTTAGTGAAGGCGGAGAAGAGGGCGAACTAGAAGAAAAACAGGCGGATTCCTCCTCTATTTACAAACTCTTGGGGATGCAACAAGTGGGCGTGGTGCGTCGACTACCGGATCTGACGTCAACGAATTTTTAGAACGAGCCGCCAACATCATCGACGCTTCATTACAGCTCTACTACTGCCCCTATTGCCAGGAAAATTACACACCGTCACTTTAAAAGAAGAAAACTCCAGATTGCAACTTTAAGAACTTTTTCAGGACTGACATTTTTACCTAATAGAACAGGGAAGGCACAGGCGTATTAATGAGGCCCACTGCGCATCCAAATGTGTACAGTGCCCTTCAAAATGCCCCAAAATCCTGTGGAATATTCTCCCGTTGGTGACAAGTCTTAAGATTGTGGGCATGCTATATTTTAGCACATTTATTTATTGAAACGAGCATGTGAGCACGTTCTCATCGACAGTTGTTTTAAGCTGCTTAAATCCTATGGGAATAAATCCTAGAAAATCACATTTACTACATCATCATTTGCCAAATGAAGCAACCAAGCTTCTTATTTTGTTGTGTTTTCTTGGCTGTTGTTGTCAGAGTTGTTGGGTGTGTAGGCGCATTAGATCGTCTGTTTGGAGTCGGTTCAATCTGCAGTCATCTCGGTGACGGAACTGTTTCATTAACAGTGGAGCAGAACCAAGACCCACTGCCCATAAAACCCCTCCTGCGTAATGGCGTTCTGCGCTGCCTGAAGCTGACTCAAGACACAGCTCGTGTTTCAGGTGGTTAAGTGTTCCCCCACATGTGGCCAACCACTTACTGGACCTGATGGAGGGATGTCCCACAATCTGGAGTCCTATCGTGGAAAACAGGGATCATATCCATGCACCTGCTTTCATACAGTTGGTGTTTGCTCAAAGGTTCATCAGCAAAAGTTCAAGAAGTTAGGAAATGTTTGCTGGTTAGAAAACCACCAGATTAAGATTTGCATTTGGTGCAAAGAAAAAAATCTGAATGGGTGTAGAGCCTTACTCTGTGACTAATTGCATGTCTGGTTTCGTTTTTAGGCTGTAAATCTTAAAGAGCGATTACACTGAGGCTTGACTTAAAAATCCCTCACAGGATCAGCGTTCTGGCCACAGCAGAGTTCCTTGTAGCACTTGTGTGACTTTTCGTTAATTACATAAAGGAACATGACATCATGCTCCCAGTGAGTGGTGATTTTTTCAGCTTTAATTTTATGAGGGACCAGTTTCAGTGAAACAAGTCTGTGAATTGTTATCACAGTTCACCATCATTACGCTGTTCAACCACCGGCTCCACCAGGTTCAGATCTTAAACTTTGATAATGTGTGAATGTTGTAAATATGACTAAACAACGGTCTGGACCAGCTGGTGAGGATTTAGGTGGAGCAAAAAATAATAATAAAGCAGCCCTAAACTGTTATTTTATTCACCAAGCATGTTTTCTGCTGAGGTGTGGGAATGTTGACCATGCAAGATGGAGAGCAGAGCGCAGGTTTGAAGGTGGGCGTTGATCAAATTTGGTCCCTTTTTTTCTGTGTCCTGTCTGGCTGTGAAGCAAACAGAATTGATGTCTGAATGCTGGTGACAAGCCTTACAGATTTACTCTCAGGTGGAGCATCAAAGCTTCTGCTTTTAACGCCACGCCTGATACTTAAAACTTTATTGTTATTGCTTTTGAATGCTTTGTAATTCCGACCAGACACGGAGTCAAAGGTGAAAGAGAAAGGAAAAGACAAAAGGAGGGGAGACAGGGGGGAAGGGGGAGGTCCACAAAAATAAACAATAATGAACAAGAGTCTGCTTCTAGACCTGCAGAAAGAGAAAGAATAGAAAAAATGGGACACACAACAATACATCAGGAGCAAGCTATCACTGCGTCAACCTGATGATGAAATATAAAATCAACATTGTTAAACTGAACAATCACACGATAATAAATCACAGTGCATTTAGTGGCAACGGCAGCCTTAAGACATGTGTTGAACGTGCCCAAGCCCATACTTTACGTGAGCACCTGTGTGTGTACACGCGCTTGTTTATGTAAGGTTTCTCTATAGGAGCGTCCAATAGAGAGTGTGAGGGGCCACAGATCCGCCCCCCAAAGATGCGTAGGAGACGGGGGGAGCTCCAAGTGCCAGAGATCCAGGCGCTGCCCCAGAACACAGGAACCCCAAGGAGACTGCAACCAGAAAAGCCCCCCGCCCCCCTCGAGAGGCACAGAGGATCGCCCCGGGGGGCCAGAACCAGCAGCCGGCAGAGTCCCGGAAGATATCAGCGGGAAGTCCACAGGCCCACCCGCAGCCTCCCACCCCAAGCCGGCCGAGTCCGGGACCCAGGGGCGACCACTCCTGCCGGGGACCCAGCACAGCCCAGGGACCCAGACCCCACCAGGCCGCCACCTGGATTGATCAGGCAGACGCCAAAAACCCGCTTAAACCCGCTGACCCGGGAGCCACGAACACTCAGGCAGACCAAGGCACAAGCCCCCACACCAGGTGTGGCAGGGGGAGGGGAGACAATGATCTTTATCACCAAAAGAAATCCCAGGAGAGGGGAGGAGTCAAAGGCCCCACCTGACATATACAGTCATACACAAACACAGTCACACACTCCCTCCCTCATGCTCACACATACACATACAACCCAAGACTTACAAAAATGCACGGCGGACACCCACTCATGCTCCCCAAACACACCCTATTCACTCTGGTCCCGGTACTGCTGCACATTGGGTACAACCATCACCGGTAACCAGAGCTTGACCCTTTCTGCTGGGGGTGCTGATGAGCAGGCACTCCCGCCCAACGCTGAGCCCAGCAACCCACCACCCCAGACCCCAACCAGACAGCCAGATCCCCCTCCTAGCCTCCAGCCCCAGGAAGCCAAGCGACAACAGAGGTGTGCTAACTTTTTTCCTAACAAAGTAACATGAGGAAATTAAGGGTGTTGACACTTGCACACAAACATCCTTAAAGCATAAAATAAAAGCAGATTTTGGAAGAACCCAAAATAATTTACAGTATAAAGTGGAATAATTCAGTTTTGTAGAGATTCATGTTAACATGTTCTGCTACAAACCTTCTCCCAGTAAGACGTGTTGGGAAAACCAAACCACTTTGGTTGAATCTTTTCAATGAGGAGGAGCAGCAGCGCTCCAAAGGTGATCAAGCTCTTTTTATTTTTATCTCTGAGGCTGAGTCCAGCCACACTATGGAGGAAGCAGATTTCACCCACTTTAGTTCAGGATCATTTTATAAGTCACAATCCAAATCTCACAACTGCAACATGGAGGGAAATTTAAATGAAGAGCTTCTTCACAATCACAGACCAGAACACCACCTCATCATCTCATTATATCTACTATCATCACCAAACAAGACCCCAGATGTTTAATTTATAGCAGAGACTGATACCTTCATGAGCTAAATTATTTATTATGCAACTTTTCTAACACCCCTTAAGATCTTATTGCTCATTCATTCCCTTAATTGAACAAGAAAACATCCTATTCACAGACAAAACACAGAATTCCTTCCTTATCCTGCAGCAACATCTTATTTATTTATTTTTTCCCCAATAAATATTTCTTTGTCCAGAAATTGCAATGTTAGAGGCTTATTTGTGCATCTTATTCAGGCTAAACTATTAAAAAAATCTAATTTGAAACCTCAACAACGAGGTTTGAACTTCATGAATCAACAAGAGTTAACACCCGGAGGAAAAATTAGCTTTTATGTCTTTATTCTATATTTTAATCAGGGACACGTCCTATTGTTTACACTAATGGGGCGGGACTATAAACCTTTATCACATCCAGCCACTAGAGGGAGTTTGTTTAGCTTCAACCTCCACTACTGTATGTGATCCTGTCAAAATATTACTGACGGTCAATATCTGTACTATAATGAAAAAATAAATAAAACTAGATCATAAATCCATAATCAAAGTAAGAAAGTAAAACAGAAATGTACACATGTTCACTTTAGACAAAATAACAAACGTGTTGGTAAAAAGGCCATATGCAATGCCTCTCATGGTATCCCCTCTTAGCTCTGGTTCAATTCCAGACAGTTCCCAGTAAAAAAATTATATCTGTTTCAGGTTGATCCATCACAAATTCTGAATGTCAGCTCCATAATCTGAAACCAGGCCCTTGTGACTTGCAAATCATAAAAGCTGGACACAATTCTTAATGACAAAACCACCCCTGATATCTGTGCTGTATTGTTTTTCAACCAGCAGATCAGATTAAATCCTCTGTGCCAGGAAACAGATGATTTCACTTCTGGCTGGGATTAGGAACAAATTATGATACATACATCACTCAGCTTTAGATCTATATCTCAAAGAGGAAAGAAACGGAGAAAAGGACAAATTGATGAATGCGGGTCTGTGTGTTCTACTTTGTTACATAAGAGAAGGGGTTCTATTTTCTTTTCTGTTGGTGCTTTTATTCAGTTTTGCCTTGTAAAACATTAAAGTAATGCTCAATAAGTTTACTGCATCTTCCTCATACGGACTTACAACTGTCATAAACAACCCTGCCACAGCCTGCTGTAGCTAGTGGTAGCAATGAGCTAATGCAAACACGAGCCAAATGAAATGCCACAAGGTAAAAAAAGATCTACTCTGTTGGACAAACATTTTTATTATTTTCAAGTCCAGTAGCAACAAAGCCAGGTCACCATCAGTCCATGATTTCATAGCCTATTCTAGCTCCCTCAAACTAGTTTAGACTTCACTCCGATTTCAGCTCTTTGCTTCACCTTCAAAGACTCTCTGACTTTTACTTCCAGCCTCCACCATGATGTAAAACTTCCTGTTCTTTGTCGCCTTCATCGTGTGCTATTTATCGACTGTTGGTGAACTGAAAAAGCTAACTGCTAGCATTTATGTTAGCTTCCAGTGTTTTATCTAGAAATATTTACAGCAGGGGTGAGCAGGGGAACGGGGGGCGCAGAGCGGACCTCTGAGCCTGAGTCAAGCTTCTGCGTCAATGCGGAGACACGCAACGCCATTATCCGTCCTTGTGTAGGCTCCCTGGCATGCATGCAAGTACGTATGGAGTCGAGCCCACTTTTCTTAACAACTGTCGAACGAGACGGAGAATGCATGCTTGTGATTGGTCGGTCCAGAATCCTGAGATCTCTTCCATCATGACGCCATTCGCTTGTTGTCTGCCTAGACCTGTTTAGCGGACGGACATCCCACCGATGCCGCTGTCTCCTTTAATGCTTTCGCTGGTATTTCAGCAAGATAAGCATTTCTTCGTCTAGATCACACAGTCCCAACTCGATCAAACTTCTCTTTGTCGAGTTGCTTGCCATTTTTCAGACTGTGGAAGTGATTTCCAAGGAAATAGTAAGACGTCACTGTACTGCTACCTATGCTACGCCCTCTGTTGTCCTGGTGGAGAATTGCTTTGTAACACCCCTTCAGCAAACGGGGAAGTATGAGAGCGAAACGCTTCCGTCAATCCGTGCGTGTCTGTCCCTCATGGAGCTGACGCAGAAGCATGACTCAGGCTTTGGAGTGGGAGGGGGGTTGTAATTGCGCGCGGAGCATTTCGCTGCCGTTTGTTGTCTGCGGGGGTCGGAACGGCCCATTTCGCTGCCGTGCCGTGGTTAATCCTTCTGTGGTCATTTCAGTTGTTTTAATAATAGACTTTTTTCTCTCTTCTTTTCCTTTTTTGTTTCTTTTGGGTTATTTATGTTTTTTGTTAGAAATAAAGTTTTACATATAATTCAGCCACTGAACCAAACAGAACTGCTGAAAACAAAAATGCACATGATTATTTATTTCTTTTTTTTTAGCAATGACAGGTGTTTCCCAGCTGAGTACTCGAGACATCACAGAGTCATCTGTCACTTTGGTTTGGACTTCACCTCCTGTTCAGTATGAGACCTACTACATCACCTTCTCCAGCCAGGTATGTTCATCCAATGTTTGAATTCCCAGCCATTATCCTTGAAATCTTTTTTTCAGTCGTGTCTTGGTTGTGAACTCTGTCTTTAGTGAATCCTCCACTCTGCTCACACAATCCGGGGGCTGGGAAAAGAATCTCTAAAACGATATTTGCACATTTTCGCAAAAACTCAAATTTTTCTGACGATCATGTTGAGCTTCTGTACAGTGGCGTGTCCAGATCTTTTAAAATGGGGTGGCCCAGGTGAGGCACAACTTTGTGCATGGGTGGCACCAATGGTTATGCTTTTTTTTTTGTTTTACCCCCAAGCCTTTTGTGGACAATGAAAATCCTATTTAAAGGTAAATTAGTGTGGTGGCACCTGGGGTGGCCAATTAGATTCCAAGGGTGGCATGTGCTACCCCAGGCCACTCCCTGGACACGCCCCTGCTTCTGTAATTCTGTCTAAAAATAAAATGTCAAAAGGAATTAAATGAACGTGGTATTACGTTGTAAAAATGTTGACGATCATCATTATCATTATTATTACTATTAATCATTGATAACAGGCATTTTCAATGAGCCAAGCTACTACAGCAAGACACGACCCTGCTCTTGTTTTTGTCCAGTGTCACCCCATCACACTTTTTTTTGGGCTCCTTCTTCAAGCCAGTAAAATAACTAGATTCATCCCTGCAGGAAAAGCTCTGCGGTCAGATTATCTGTAACAGACACTAGCACCTCATTTTTCTTTCATAAAAGACGTGATGCATTTCCTTAGTGATTCCACTTAAAACCGGATTTCAAGGTACTTTCAGTCCCTCTCAGGAATCAGAGAGCAGGTGATGGTGTTGGCAACACAAACATCATTGAATCATCCACTGCTGCAGCTGCTTTGTGAGAACTTGAATGCAACCTTGTCGAAAGATCCAGCCGAGTCTAAGTTTTCTCCTTTTTTCACAACTTTTTGCTGTTATGAGGTATTGTCACCTGTAGATGGGGCAGTAGCACAGGTGTATGCCTCTTGAGTAGTTCACATGAGTCAGATGGCTTTTCATTCTGTTCCATCTTAAAGATGAACATGAAGCCTTTACCCAGTTAATCATCATAGACTGATTATTAGCACAAAATGCCCACGTTTCACATTAAAGACTGAAACGCTACAAATTGGACTTTTGATCAAAAACAATCATGGGTAGAGACGAAATTGGGAATGTCTTCATCTGTTTTGTCTCAAAATCAATCTCTGTCAGCCAATCAGAGGAGATACATTTGCATATTTTGAATATTAAAGAGTAAGACTCGTATTATCCTTCATTTCCCTCTGAGCTACTCCTCAAACTAACTTCTATCGCCTTAAACAGGCGATCAGCTGAATGTCGTCATATCATTCTGATTCCAGTCTATAGAAAAATGTCTTGATCGGTATCACTAATCTTGCTACTTCCAAAATGCTTTGGCATCATGTAACACCGCTTGGTTGCCAATATGAAAAAAGACTGCTGGAAATGAAGAATGATCACAATATAATGTATTACTCACTTACATTTGACCAAGTGGGGAGGGAACTGAGGTGGCTTGAGAGAAGGAAAGCTGCAGATTCTAAGGGGATCAGCCCCAGACTGCTAAAAGACTGTGCTGACCAACTTTATAAAGTGGTCACGCACATGCTCAACCTGAGCCTTCGGTTGGAGCAGGTCTCCATTCTGTTGAAGACCTCCTGTGTGGTTTCAGTTCCCAAAACATCACATCCCTGGGATCCAGGCCACTACAGACCAGTCGCCTTGACCTCCCATCTGATGAAGAATGTGGAGAGACTCATCCTCACTCATCTACATTCAGTGGTGAGCCCGGAAATAGACCCACTCCAATTTGAATGAAAAACAAACATGGGGTGGAGGACGACAGGCGCGCAATTAGGGTGGCAGACAGGGGGGATCTGTCTCCCCCAGATTCAGATCGACCCCGATCCGTCCCCCCAACTAAGGCCAGAAAGAAAACAAAATCGGAGGTTAAGCGCTTGAAGCTCCTTTTTCCAATTACATTGAATGCAGCATGACGTAAACAAACACCGACTCCAGAGGCGCCAAAGTGGTTGCTGCTAGGATGCAGGATAAAGCAAAAAGGGCATGCAACAATTACTGAATTTTTAAAAAAGACCAACAGTGTAAGTAGGTGGGACCGATCTGTCTGTTTATGCATGTTGGTTCTAGTTTCAGTACGTTGTTGTCAGTGTTGGGACTTACTCGTTATAAGCGCCAAAGCCTCATTGCTGACTTTAACAAGTCTCATCTACAAATATGATCCCTCATGAAGTTACTACTTTACACCAGAAGATAGTGGAGATGTGGAACCTTCAGGCTGAGCAAAGTTTGGGAGTTTTTAGAGTTTGAAAACCGCCTCCCGCCGAGAGGCTCCCAGTCGGGGAGAGGAGGAGATGGGCGCAGCATGAAGAGCGCAAATATTAGATAAAACGTATAATTGCCAGCAGGTCTGGTCTTTGTTGACTGATTGCTTTGTCTGGTAATGACTGACTCTAAGCTCCAAACGTTGGGTTTGATGTTGGTTTAACCTTCTTTGGGACGAGATGGATGTAGAAATGATGGTAAAACACCGCTAACGTGACAGACGTAGCAACAATGTAAAAAAAAAGCCATAAAAAAGAGGCAGATGCCGATGCGTTACATGTGGAAATCAAAGTGTGCCACATAATCATAAAAAATAAGTTAAATATAAAATTTTAAAAGAGTTTTATTTATGTATATATAACTTAAAACTTTCCAAATGTAATGAAAATCTATAAATAACGTAACAATAAGAAGGAACTTCTGTTGGTCAGGCTGAAAAGTTTGGGAACCACTGCTCTAAGTGACAAGTGAATATTGTTTATTAAATATATATTTTATATGCAGTTTTTAAGGGGTTTTTATGTTTTCTGTAAAGATTGGTATGCTGAAAATGATTTAATGTTTTGCATAAAGCATGAGGTTTTGGTTAGTAATCGATTGAGAGAACAACAAATGACTGATTTGGATATTGTTGATCAGGCAGAGCTTTGTTGCCAGCGTTCCATTGCATAATGGCTTCAAACACGTATATAAAATTGTTAGTTTTTTCATAAACCATTGGATGAAATTACACAAATTGACTGAGATCTATTTAAGGCTCTTGCAGTCGTTTGTGCATGTGTATGTGCATGCTTGTGTGTGTGTGTTTGTGCTTGGGGGAGGGTACATTTGAACTTTTCCCCCCCAGTTTGAAAATCCTATCTGCGCCCCTGGAGGACGAGCTAATCTTCCTGCAGCACTGGGCTCTGAATCACCTTGAGATGCAAAAAAGCACTGTGAGAATCATGTTCTTCGACTTCTCAAGTGCCTTCAACATCATCCAGCCCGGTCTACTGTAGCAAAAGATGAGGGGTGCAGGAGTGGACAAACATCTGACTGCATGGACCACCAACTACCTCACCAACAGGCCACAGTACATGAGGCTGTACAACTGTACATCTGAGGTGGTTATGTGCAGTACTGGAGCTCCACAGGGTACAGTGCTCTCACCTCTTCTATTCATTTTCTATACCTCTGACTTCTCCTACAACACCAGCAGCTGTAACCTCCAGAAGTCCTCTGATGACTCAGCCGTTGTTGGCTGTGTGTCTGAGGGAAATGACCTGGAGTACAGGTCAGTCATCATGAACATTGTTGACTGGTGTGAGTGTAACCACCTTTGGTTGAACACCAGTAAGACGAAGGAAATGGTGATTGATGCCCCGAGAAGCACTCCTCACTCACCAGTAAACATCCAGGGTGCAGACATTGAGGTGGTAGATCCCTTACAGTACATGGGTGTTTACCTCAACCGTAAACTGAACTGGTCTAACAACACAGATGCTTTGAATAAGTAGGGCCAAAGCCGCCTCCACCTCCTGAGGAGGGTGAGGTCCTTCAGACTTAATTGCCCTCTGCTAAAATCCTTTTATCACGCTGTTGTTGGCTCTGTTATTCACTCTGGTGTGATCTGTTGGGGTGCAGGCAGCTCTGACCGAGACAGAAAGAGACTGAACAAGCCAGTTCACAAAGCTAGCTCAGTTCTGGGTTGCCCACTGGATACAGTTGAGGAGATGTGTGAAAGGGGGATGCTGAAGAACATGACCTCCATCTTAAAAACAAACAAACCTCCAAAGCACTGCATTCCACTGTGGAGACCATGGACAGCTCCTTCAGACACAGATTGAGACATCCCAGATGTAAAACAGAATGCTTCCGTAGGCCATTCACCCCCTCTGCAATAATAAGTAAGTAAGTAAGTAAAACTTTATTTATATAGCACTTTTCACAGATAAAAATCACAAAGTGCTTCACAGTATACATAAAAAGGCAAAACAGGACAGGAGCACAAGGTCAACTTACATAAAAGCTTGTCTAAATAAAAGTGTCTTCAGCTGCTTTTTAAAAGAATCAACAGAGTCGGCCACACGAAGAAACAGGGGCAGGGCGTTCCAAAGTCTGGGAGATACAGCTTGAAAGGACAGGTCCCCTCTAGTTTGAGTGTATAACTCCTTGGTTTAAGTTGTACTGGCATTATCCTAGAACACAAAAACAACAATGCAATACTCAATGTGTTCAATACTTGTGCAATACTGAATTTACATAGTATGTTTGTGTCCCTTTAGGGATGGGTACCTTTGACATTTGAATCGATCCGGTACTAATTCCCGGTACCTAGGAATCGACACCGGTACTTAATGGTACCAATTTTTGATACTTTTGAGTGTTTATTATTTTAATTCTCTTTTATAATTAAATGTATATTTTTCTCAATATATAACAATATTTGATAAATATCATGATAAATAACATTCAACTGTTTGTATTTTAACATCGTCCTTGTAGTTTTATAAGCTGATAATTAAACTGAAGCAAACATCTTTACTGTGAACTAAATTTACTGTTCATCTTCATTCCTTTTGCCGTCCTTTTTCATTTGATATTTCCTACTGGGAAGTTAGAATTTCCGAGGAGAAA